TTCTTCCTTGAGACCCGGATTGAGGACTCTAAATGCGCAGGCAGAGCCAAGGTAAACACTAAAAATATCCAAAAATAAACACCAGCTGGTTCCCTTGAGCCAAGCCTCCCCAGCCATGGCACAGGTGGGTAGCGGAAGCAATCTCCGTCGCAGCTCACTAGCCTGGAGAAAAATATTGCAAGTAGTTTGTCCTCACTTTTCACAATGCTGGACCATGCTGGACCTCTCTCTTCATGCTGATAATGTGGAATGTGGAACGAAGGGAAAACGGAGGGTGTGTGCGGACATGGGGTGAATCAAAATTGTTTCCACGAAGTTAGTGCGTGAAAAATACCTGCCGCGAAGTTCTGCGAAGGTCTCCGGGTCCCCGCTGGGGTTAGTGTTTTGGTATCGTCACGGTGAAATGCCTTCAAGTCACGAGTATTCACCCGAAAGGATACCCTGACTATTGCCGCCAAGCCAGTCGACCCGTGCACATTCGGCCCCCAAACCAAACCTATGTAAACCGTCGTCGTAGTAGTAGTAGTAGTAGTAGTCGTAGTCTTAGTCGTAGTCGTAGTCGTAGTCGTAGTGGTAGTGGTAGTAGTAGTCGTAGTCGTAGTAGTCGTCGTAGTCGTCGTAGTCGTCGTAGTCGTCGTAGTCGTCGTAGTCGTCGTAGTCGTCGTAGTCGTCGTAGTAGTAGTAGTAGTAGGTAGTGGTCGTGGTTGTGGTAGTGGAAGTAATACAACACGGCGTTCCACGAAGGGCCCGGACCTACCACGAAGTTAGTAGAACGTGTTTTTGCTAAACCCTTTCTGTGCACGACCCTTCCGTTTGTCTCTGATGGAAGGTGCAGGGTTTCAGACGTCCCCAAGCAGGAAACAAGTGCAACACAATTGCAACCAGACATGATGAGTGAAGCAGTTGCGCAGTTTTGTTGCATTCTCTTTGCATCGTTGCACTTCTTGTGGCAGTTTGTTTACACTTACCACCTTACTTTCTAGTGCACATATTTTGAATTCTCATGCTGTTTGAGTGGAAGAATAAGTGCAATTTGGCCAGGTGGTCAGCGAAGTACTATTGATGAAATTGGGATACAACACATGTAACACACGCACGTTGAAGAAGTTGTGGCTTGCTTTTCTTGGTGACATCGGCAGCTCATTCCTCTACTGGAAAAAAGGACAAGCGAAGCTCGACGCCCAAACTCTTCAGGCTCTTCCGCCTCTCTCTCCAGAGAGGCCAGCCGCGGCTTGGCCTGCCACTGAAATTCAGACTCTCGTTGATATGTCCAAAAATTATTCACAACTATTGTTCTTCTGGTTAAAGTCGAGGACAAACAAACAAGATGCGTAGCAGCATCTTCATCCGTCTACGTGGGCATGGACGAGTTAGAAAAACGGAAACTAGTACTGCACGTTCTTCCAAGCAACAGCCCCATGAAGAATCGTGAAAGCTGCCAGTCATCACCCTAAAACCAGTTCAGGGAAGTAACCCGGCAAACTGGGTAAATGTGTTTTAAAGCCCGCTCCCCTCCCTACTTAATTAAGTAGGCTCCTACTTAATCAAGTAACGGAGAGGTAGTTAGTACCTTAGAAGCCTTGTGGCACGAAGTCATACAATGTCCGCGCCTTCAGGGTCAAAAGCTCGCAAATGTCCGAGCGCAAATCCTGCATCCAACGAAAAGGTCTCAAAAGGGCTCTCTTTTGCTACAAGCTTGGCTTTGCAAGAGTTGCAGTGGTGTTTTGGCCTTTTGCATTATCTACAGCAGCACTTGTTCTCAAAATCTATATATGGTGGTTGATCAAAATTCCTTCTTGCTGGCAGGCCATTCTTCGCGAAAAAAAAATTTACTTTCGCGAATCTTTCGCGAACTCCATGTTTAACTTTCGCGGGGGGTATACCCTCTAGAAATCATAGTGGTTCTACATAGCAGCCTAAGCACTTCCATCAAGCACCATTTTGGATCTGCAGACGAGGTTGCGGCACAAGGCAGATTGGCGAGAACTCTCAATCACCACCATTGGATGAATCAGCAGAATTGGTGGAGGACGAGCCGGAAGAGCTATCAACGGTTGTTGCGCTCATGTCTTGCTAGGTCTGTCGCTGCTTGGCTTGGGCAGGGGTCCACAAAATAAACCTTCACATTCGCCTATGCTTTCGCGGAACTTTCGCGAATCTTTCGCCAAAAATTGTCGCGTCATTGGTGGGTTTCTAGGCGCACAGCGTAACAACCAGTGGCAGCAGCACGAGGAGTAGTAAGAAGTGGTAGTCGTAGTGGTAGTGGCAGTAGCAGGAACAGCAGCAGCAGCAGCTGCAGCAGCAGGAGGAAGAGGAGGGCATGGCTTCAAGCCTAAAAACTGCATGTATACCATATAGTATAATAATGTATAATAGATTCTTTCGCAGATCTTTCGCAAAAAAAAAATACTTTCGCGAACTCGAGAAAAAACTTTCGCGGACAACTTGAAGAGGCTCTCAGTGGCATAGGCCTTATGTCGACCTTTCGATCGACTACCATATATATATAACCCCATCCCAAGGAGAACCTACAGTAAAGCTATGCACTGTTCTTCCAACTTCCATTACAGAAAACAAGTGGGACGCTCCTTGATTTGCGTTTGCAAACTCTCGACCTCGACATGCGAAGTATTCCAATACAATCGTGCATGGTTCGTTAGTACAGTAGGGCCCACAATCTGTGGTGCTTGTACAGTGTACCTCATGATTGCCAGGTTTATGTCAAGAAGGTCCGCCAACCATGGAAAAGAAAAGGCGCAATATTGAAGAGCCCCGAGAGAAGGATCACCCCCGCATGAATGAATTAATCAAGCTTTGGGCCAGGGAAAGAAAGTTGTGTTTCTTCTCCACAAAAGTTAAACCAGAGTGAACTACACAGTCATAGCACTGTTTAAGAAATCACACAAAGAACCATGTAGATATCTTTAGCTCATATCCATCATTATATCTGTATTGTGTGTATGCCGTTGTAAGATACATCTTGTAGGGCTGGTGCCCACCATAGAACGTGATTGACGTGGCATTCAGCAAGTTCCCAACTTGGCGATCTCGAAGAGCCCCGGCTTGCTCCACCTGCAGGGCACATAAACCTGTGTGCATCTGGGGACTCTGGAAATTTAGTAAAATCTATCTATTCAATACATTCGGTAACAATTCAAGCAGCATTCCTTGAAAAACCGAAGTTTGCTCCGTACACAGTGAGGCACAATGTTAGTTAGTGACTCTGCTAGCAAGAGCCAACTCGGACTGTCCAAAGACATGGTCCCTCCAATGGATTGGTATATTATATAATTAACCACTTCTGGCCTAAAAAATCCTCTGGCCATCTCTGGCCCAACCGACTCCCGGCCAGCCCATTTCTTTTTACTTCTTCACAGCCAGCGCAAGGCACGGGCACTCACTTCATCATCCGTTTCTCTTGCAAGTTGACCTGGAAGCATCCAAGCGTCCAGGCACAAGCTGTGTCCCCGCTAAGACATTGTCTGGTGACGTGTTTACTCAAAGGCCTTGCACCAAGACCTTGAAACTCTCCGACAGCAATCAGCAAAGCAAATGCAAAGGCTGCAATGCGGCTGCAAGTTTGCGATCTCATCTTGCGGTGCATGTCACAGCCAGAGCCTCGCCTTGTCCACAGTTTGTTGAGCAATGCCCCCAGTTGTGCCAGATGCGGTTTTCGGATCAAACGTCGGAAGCCACTTGTTCCTGTCCAGCAAAACTTCAAGCCAAAAGCAACACCACAAAATTTGCTGACTAAGTTCAAGAACTCAGCAAAGCCCTGGGAGTGAAGGAAGCGGACACGGTTGGCCTTTTGTAGCACTTTGTAACAAGTCTGTCTATCACTCCCATCCCCAAACACCAGCGGCTTTTGGCGACACTTGCATCAGTCAGGGTGCCTCCCTGAGCTGGCAGCAGTCTGGATATCCACCGGTCAACCATCACTTGGGATGGAGAATACTTCGCACCTCACCGCAACTCCTCTGAAATTGGGCGGGGCGGGTGCAAGAAACTTGGCATTGCCTGAGCAAAGAAACCTGTCAAATAGAAGCCGAACCACCTGAGCACACAAACTCTAGAATCACAAGGTTGGGAAGTTTCGGTGTGGGTGATTCCCTTATACAGAGTACCCCTGCAACGTTCCATAACGTATCCCCAAACACAACCGCCTTTTGGCGACAGTCGTATCGCAAACTAGATGCATCGGAGCCTCTGCCCGGAGCACCTCGCACGAGTTGCCACCCGGCTTGCACATCGGATAAAGAGCAAGCCGCTGAAACCAACACGAATCCTTCTCCAGACACCTCACCAATCCTTCTGCACGCCGCCTGCAAACGAGCTGCAATTCATTCAAGAGGCAGCTGCGCTTCTCAGCCAGCCGGGAGTCTCGCCAGGAGCGACCCCAAGTTCGATCTGCCACCCAACCCACTTCAGCGTGTGCCACGACAAAGGGAGTCCAAGCGCCCCCGCCCACATCATGCTTAGACACGCCATCACTGACGCGCAGTGCGCGGGAAACAGCGCCAACAATCAACATACACCCAGTAAATTAAGTGATAAAACTGTTGATGAACACTAGCACACCTGAGCACAGAGTCTCCAGATATCACAAGGTTGGGAAGTTTGGGTGCGGGGTGGTTCCCTTATTATGCAAAGTATTCCTGCAACCCTAGGTTTCTCAGTTTATAAAATTTGGCCACGTCAAGTTGAAACCAACATTTCACAGATCACCTGAAGCGTTGGATCAGATTCCTACAAGCCACAAGCTGGGAGTAATTCACAGCTGCCCTGTCCTGAACCACTCGATGGTGTCTGGCCACCCTTCTCGGTAGGAGACCACTGGTCGGTAGCCCAAGTCTGTCTGCGCAGCGGTGATGCGAAACCACCTGGCACTGAGACATTCTGAGACTATGTCTCAGAGATGTGAGTCAGGCCGGAATGAAACCGACCAACCACGTGAGTTCATCTCAGCCCCTAAAGATTTGCAGGGGTCCTGTGCTCAATCGGCCAAGGTGACTTGAACAATTCTTAAAATGCTGTAAACAATTGCTGGGCAAAAAACGAACAGGGTGCCATAGAGATCCTGAGCCACAAGAGACCTGCATAGTTAATCGAGGTCACCCCGTTCCCGAGTTCCAGGCTGGAAACACACAAAATATGATAAGACACGTTGTCAGCTACAATGCTAGCTAGCCCTCGCCAACGCTTGCAGCAGCGTGACTCACTCAAGAAGTTCCAACAAGCAATGTGAGACTCTCCAACACTCCGTCACAGATTCACGGACCCAAAACCTCCAAGTCATTTGCAAGATTCAATTGAGAATGCTCGAAGATGCGTAGGCCGTGTCTTGCTCCAATGAATGTTCTATCCTTACAGTAGACCCCGCTTTTCGGAGGTGCCCTTTTTGCCCCGAGACGGCCACCAAACAAAGCACAAAAGGGCAGCAACAAAGTCTTGGTGAACTTGGTGATGCCCTTTTTTGCTGCGAGATTGCCCTCGAACAAAGCTCAGAAGGGCACCAGCCCAGAAATGCGGCTTAAGGGCTTTTCTTCGGCTCTCTGCATCTAGATCTGTAAAACACACTGTTTTTCCATACCCGCACCGACAATTCACCTCAAGCAGCAGCTCGCAAGATTCAATTAGACAGATCGAAACGGCATCGGCAAAGTCCTGACTTGTCAAGGGCCTCATCGTCAGAACCTGCTTTTCGGAGATGCCGTCATGCGAAGTTCATAATGTAAATAGTCCGTTGTTGCATCACTCGTATCACAAAAACTCTCATATAGCGACTGTCCACCAACGTTTTTCGCTCTTCCGCAGCAGGCTCTGGGATCACCCTTCCGAACCTGTCTTTTTTGAACAATGCCCGCACACAGACCCTAAAACTCACTTCGTTCGCCTAAACAGAACTTCAGCGCAGCGTATCGGCTGGCTTTCGAAAAAAGAAAAAACACGCACACTGCTGGCCCTGGATGGAAACAAACTGACGCCGTCTTTGCTGTGTTGCCAAAGCTGCAAGAAGTGCTGCATGGAAACAAACTCAGAAGACAACAAACGATTTGAACCTCAGCAAATGCGCGCGCCTGTTCATTGTAAGCATCCGAAGAGTAAACCAACCTAGCTTCAGTTTTTTCCCGGTCATGGCACTGATTGCATCGCAAATGAAAGCCACTATCCTGCAGGTGGTGGCAAGTCTGACAACTTGTTTGACCAGTTGCCATTGTCTTGATCTGAAATCCATGCAGAACTTCAAGCAATCTCCCTGTTCAAGAAGAGCCACGCACAGGTGAAAGGTGCCTGATTCATATATATATATATATTCTATAGTGGCCCTCCGTCTTGACATGTTGATCTTTCAAAAGGACCAAAGTCAAAGTCAATTATGTCCATTGACCAAAACCTCTGCAGACATGCAAAGGACGTTGTTTTGTTTTGATGTTTCTCCAGGAATTCCAGCGATCCCTATTGCTACTATGGTGTCTACCTACCTGTAGAAAACTGACGCTGTTGGCAATTTGTGTCATTACAGTTGGCAATCTGTGTCATTAGGCCATTGGGACTTCCTTGATGGAGAAGAACAAACCACTATTTCGTCAAATCATCTCTTCACAACTCCAGAACTCCTCAAAAGAAAATACGGCAAGGCCATTTTGCCTCGGTGCGGGAGACAAGTACAAACTCAACACAGAACGGCTCAGACATGGGATGAAACCTTAGGGTAGTTACCCCGAGTCCACCAACTTCCGCCAGGTTGCTGTACAGCGAATCGAAGCCCATGCCCACCACTGCCTGATCCAACTCCTCCCAGAAGATACTATAGCCCTGTGCCATGGATGAGCTTCTGACATAGACTTGATCATCAAATGCCAATACATGCCAGTGCTGGCTACACTACATACTGTACAGTAGTTGCTCTTCAGGCTGTTACCCTCTATCTAGAAATCTAGAAGGCAGCGTGGAGCAGCTGTAGTGTGAAGTGAACACAGTGGTGGCTACAAATTCTCAAGGTCAATTTTGGGAATGGGAAGTAATCCCTATTGAGAGTACAGTTCCTTTTGCCAAAGGTGGGTGAAGCCCTTCAAGGGTCACTTTGCATCCTGGTAAAGGTCCGTGCCTCAGGATATGGGTGGGTTGCCCCATCCGTGCAAACATAGAACTTGCCTCGGTTTCGTAGCACGGAGGAATCAGGGATTGTTGGTAGACGCACTCGTGCATCGAAGCATACCTCATCAAGATTGCTCCTGCACACCTCAAAGTGATGCAGAACATTGTCTCCCACCAGTGTAGAAAGGCATAATGGATAGCGTGCAGCACCACCATACATGGAGCATAACATTGTGGTGACCGTCTCGACACAAAGTGCATACACCAGCATTGGTATATCAGGGGTTGGGGTTAGAGCTGGCAAGACAAGCAAAGACATTGATCCTTGGATATACAACACAGATCGCGCTGTCTGTGTTGATCTGTTTTTTCTGTTCTTTTTCTGCGCTAAGGTTATCAACACTTGGTTCAGGTCTATTTGTGTGCAAAATGGATATTGTTATTATTGTGAATTATTGCATTACGTAGGTTCAATTCATCAAATGTCCAACCCATTTTGTCCCACCGCCAGGACTCGCAAGTTTGATTCGACCTTACAGCTCAATTGTTTCATGTTTGTTGGTCATACTCTGTATTTCCAACCAAGGCGCCCAAATATGGAGAGTTCTCGTAGATCTGCTTCTCTGCGATGATCAGTCCGTGGCAGTAGTTGTCCACGTGAGTGTAACTGGGGATTTCCAAGTCCAACGTGACATATGCCACTCATTGACGGATCTTACTATATTTTGCCTTCCACTGGAAAGGTAATTAAGGTGTTCCATACCCACGTATCGTTTTGTGGTCTAAGCCAACGTGACTTTGTTCCATCGTGAGCTCAAATTATTCTCAGAATTGGAAACAAAGTGCTTGGCATCCTCCAATCGTTTGGGTTCTGTATCCTTAATCCAATCCTGCATGCGACAACCAATGCGATACAAACAGACTGAATAGAACATGGCCCACCGCAACAGCATCTGCCCTTGTCTTGTCCACCCAGGATTCTGCCGAGAAGCCCTACACGGCTCTTGCCAGTTCCAAAAATGCGAAGCTTGCCCACGCCAGCAGCTTCTAAGAGGTTTGGAAGAAAAAGATTGTCACCTCAGGTTGCAAGCGAATCAAATTTTGGTAATTGTGCAAGCCTAGATCCCAGATCGCAAAAGATTTGTGGGCAGCACGCAGCAGCACCCTGCAGTGGCATCAGCACCCAGGCTCCAAAGCGCACACTGCCGTAGGCATCTGGCAGCAACACCCTGTAGCAGCACCAGCATCCAAGCTCCAAAGCACATGCCCATACACATCTGGCAGCGGTACGACACCGCTGTAGACATCTCGCAGTACAGTAGCTCCCTGGAACCTTGGAGCGGGACCGGAACCGGCACCAGCGCGCAGGCTCCAAAGCGCACACATCCATACACATCTGGCAGCGGCGCCCTCCAGCGGCACAAACCGCACCAGGCACCTCTTCCTATTTTTGAATTACAAGCCAAACTAGCTCTCGCCGCGAAAAACACAAACAGGTGCTGGCTTGTTTCTGAAGTCAGCAAGTTCAGGCCACACAAAGCTATCAAGGCTATCAAGGCGCACAGCATGAAAACGTAAATTGGACGCACTATTTGGGAAGGGCCGCCTCCCAAAAATTGTGATGGCCGGACGTGAGACATAGTTTCTGGTGTTAGTGCCCCGTAAAAAAGATTACGGGGGACTGTGAGAGTGCAGTTTCTTCGCTGCATTTGCTAGGTTTGAACTCTTCAATGACTGGACTGTAAAAATGCCTGTTTTGACTCAAGGACAGCTCATGGAAGATTCTACGTTTATTCCAATTTATGTTTATTCCAATTTCGTTATGTTTAATTCAATTTACTGGTAACTTATTGTTTGTTTCATTTCAATTCAATTCTTATACAATTCAAACTTAGTTGTTTTGCAATTCAATTCCAATTCAATTCTATTGTTTATCTATATAAATAATTTGATTTATTCCTGGTTTGATTCTAGTTTACTTCTAATTTGATGTTACTTTCAAAATTGATTTTAGTTATATATATAATTATATATATATATCCCAAAAGCACTCTATTAAAACTATTATGTAAAAAGCATCACCTCCTCTGTAGAATTAAATTAGAATTGTTAAAGAATTAGATTAGGATTAAATTAGAATTGAATTAGAACTAAATTAGAATTCAGTCCGCATTGAATCATAATTAAATTAGCATTGAAACAGAATTGAATTGGAATTGAAATAGAATTCATTTAGAATTGTAAAAGAATTATCAAAATTAAGATTGAACTAGAATTAACTTCAAATTACAGTACTTGAACTAGAACTAAATCAGAAGTAAATTAAGATTCAAATGAATTAAACTGGAACTGAACTAGAAGTTGTTAACTCAGAATTCGATTGGAATTGAAATCGAAATAACAAAGTCAGCCATTAGAATTCAAGTAGACTCAAACTAGAATTCAATTTAGAATTAAATTAGGGTTAAACTAGAATCTATATATTTTAGTAAATTAGGATTAAACTAACTGTTAAATAGAAATCAACTAAAATTGCAAAGCAATTGGAATTGAATGACTTGAAGTTACATTGAATAAAAAAGAAAAGCGAGTCCAAATAGACATCAGTTTCAATTAAATTCGAACGAAACTAGACTTGAAGTAGAATTAGATTAGATTTCAATTAATTACGATTAAAATGTAATTAACATATTTAAGTTGCAGTTGAATTAGAATTTAATTATATAGATTGTTTAAATTAATTAGAATTAAACCATGCCCAAGTCTCTCAATCTGGGGACAAGAAGGCTGGAACCAAGTGCCGGAGTCATGAAGTAGAATGCTATTATCTAATCAGGATAATCCTGATTAATCAGGATCAGACGAAACCTCGAGAAAACATGTTCAAAAAACAAACTCTTCTCCAGTACTCTTTTGCAGACAAGGTGAGGCATGGCAAAGACCTCCAGAATAGTGTGTGTGTTCTCTATATTTTGTTGCTTTTTTGGTTTTCTCAAGATTGTGTCTCTATATTTGTCTCATTGCAAATGACATTGAGGCAGCTTTCAGAGGCACATGGCACGAAGGCAGGCAACAGTGGAAAGTTTATGGCGCACATAGACAAAGAACATTCATGCAGAATCATGCAGATTCTCTTAATGCATAGCAAATACGCACTCTGGTGGTCCCCTGTTTTGGAGTGCACCGTTATGATGGCCTGGCAGCGCACCGGAAACACACTTACCAAGACCCAAAATGATTGCATGCCTGGTAGTTTGCTGGAAGAAATTTGTCGGCAGCTCCACCTTCCCTGATTACTTGCGCAAAGTGACTCCCGTCACAACACAGTTTTCATCGAGCAACTGCGCCTGCTTCCCACCCTTCCCCCGAGCTCCGCACGTGGCCCGTAGACTGTGTGAGGGGCGACCTTGGAATCACGCAAAGAGCCCTGTGAATTCGCACAAGTGGTTTGGAAGAATCAAAAACTTGGGCTGCAGGTCAACCTCACAACTGTTATAGAGGTTTTCAGTACCGCTCGCCGCTCGCCAAAGTTTTTTGATATGAATGCGACATCTCTCAAAGGATGCAATTCTTTTGTCCAACCTGCTTTCAAGAGCTCCTCTTCTCTCCCGAAAAGACCACGTTCTTTCCCTGGATTCGCCCTTCCAGCCAGCAAATGGAGGGAAGGAAGGGGCTCAACCTAAACATTATCAGGAACATAGAGGCAGCCGGCAGCCGGAAGTCCATCTGAGACAGCAGAACATGGCAAGAAGCCTGTGGCCTCTGCCTTCGGCCTATCCGTTGCCTTGTCTTCAGGGCTCTTGCTGCCCCATCTCCTTCTTCTCCTCCTCCTGCTTGACAGTGCACCGCTTCTTTCGCTTCTCCTGCGCTCGTGACCAGCTCACTCCTCTGCTCTTCCTTCGCTGCGATCTGCTTGCCCTTGTCTCCTTTGCCAGATGCAGGTTTAATTTGAATGCTTTACCATCTTTTTTTCAACCTCTTCATTTGCCACTGTCTCAGGGGTGGACCCCTTCTTACCTGCTTTCTCTTCAATCTTTGGAAGGGGAGCTCCGGTCGCGTCCACAATGCCCTGAAATGTTCCCTCTTGAAATCTTTCACAAGTTCTCCCAAGCGTTCCAACCACATTCTTCAAGCAGTTCCAAAGTTCACCTGCTGAAAGCTCAAACACCTCGTAGATGCCGATTGGAGGATGCGTGTCAACTGGTAGCAAGCTTTGCAGTGCCCCGACTCGATCAACTGCAGTTTCAACCAATTTTGGTAGTGAACATGTAGGTATATACTCATAACACTCATTAGTCACGACAATAAAGGTTTGCAACTCTTTATATAACCTTAGGGGCGGAGTATGATATTGACACATGCGGTTGCTGCACAAAGACTCCTCCAGGATTTGTGCATCCTAGGGGCAGCGATGAACATGATCTCCCCGGCTTTGCAGGCCTGAAACCATCAAGTGAGTCGTGCAGGTGAGTGCCAAAAACAAAACTGATCTTGTCAAAGTCTAATCCTCACATGAGCAATTGAAAAGATTTGGGCATCAAGCACCACATTCTGGTTTGCAGGGAAGAAGCCCTCCTTCATAGACTGAGCTTCCAGGTTCAGAAAAGGTGCTTAAACTGGGACTCTACATGGAGCTCCGATGGACTGTTGGAGCTTGACCAATAGCTGGTTGCTGGACAAGTCGAGGAATCTGGTGAAACCAACCTGATACCAATGCCATTGATCCTAAGATTGTCTCATCCCCACCCGGGGATAGGTGGCCAAATCATGCCCAAATCTCCCCGTTTGTAAAAAATGAACTTTCTTGTTTAGCAAGCAAATAACATCAGACAAGGGGTTCTGCGGAGCTACCCAGTGTTCGTGACGGCAAAAGTGCGTCCTTCAAAAATGCGGAGGTGACACGGTAAGACCGGAGAACGGAAAAACGGCAACAGCAACTCCCTTTGTGTTCGCAATCCATTCAATCAAGCAATATTTCCTTTCGTTCTGTCACTTCATACAGCTACTAGGCAACAACCACTTGATTGAAACTTTTCACAACACCACACCATTGTACCCAAGGAAGAGAACGTGACATCATATCATCAATGTCAGCCAAAAACGAAGGGAAAAATTGTCAAAGAAACCAAAAGAAGCCCGAACGTCCCAACACAAAAACGAGAAAGCAGCATTTAAATAGCTTTGATATGTATGTACTATGAAGAGACATTAGTGCAGTAGCTGTTATAACTATATGGTGCGCTTTTTTATGCTGCAAGTGCAGGCAAGCCATGGATTTGTAAGATGCATATAATCTTCTCATCCGGCGGTGGTGTTGTAGATTTGGTTGTGAATTGACATGTCAACAGCTTGGTGAAACAGAGAACGCGAAGTTGACACAATGCACTGCCTGAAGATGGACCCTTTGATGCAAGAAGAAAATACAGGGGCAATATTCGTGAATGAGAAGAAATACGGTATGTTTCATTTAATAAAGGGCACAAGAACAAAAAGAAAAACACCATGAAGGTGTGGTCCGAAACTAAGTTTGCAATTCATGACTAGGTGATAACATGTTTTACTATGTTCTGTGGACATCAGATTTGAGTTGCGTTCGTTAGTGACTATCTCTCGTTTGCACGAAGTACAAGAGTGCATGCCTTCTGTCTGTGTTGAGAATACAATATAACACATTGCTTTTTTCACTGTGGATTCTTTGCGTGTTTCATCGTTTCTTCTGGTGCTTGGGGGTCATTTTGGGTCGCCTCAGCCACTTCAGCCTGCGTGGATTCAAAATCAACAACTTGATCTCCAAGATTAGAAGCCGTTTGTCGCTTTTACATGCTTCTACCATAACCATCCAGGCTTTGGCAGAAAAATAAAGGCTACAGAAGTTTCGAGAAGCAGTTTGCATCATGATCACTATGTTATATATACATAGACAGCTCGCTTGAATATCTAGCCTTCAATTAAAGCAACTAAACACTGGTGAGCCAGCTTAGGATTTTCCGGCTGACCTGGCTGCATGTTAGACATGGCCACGTACCCGCCTTCTGCTACAGTACATGGACATGGAAAGCACATGAAAGCACAACTTATTTAAAGCAACTAGGAGACAATCCTAAACATCGTTTCAGTTGGCCGCCCAATGCAAGTTGGACATGAATGTTCACACAACAAATTGACTGCAGAATCTGCAAGCCCCTTTTCTGCAAGTTCCACGCATTCATCTCGCCTTCAAGCACTGACCCCGGCCTGTCGGAGGAGCAGTTCGCCTTCCGCTTTTGTGGCCGAGTACTCTGCCACATAGGTCTCCTCCAGTAGAAACGGTTTTGCTGAACAGTTGGATTCGTTATCCTCAAAATCAATCAAGCATTTGGATGCATTTGGGGAGTGTTGATTGAATCCCACCCGCTGGGTCAAAGAAGTTCATCACTACTGGCCTAGCAGGAAGACCTGCCATGGACTAGAATCACTAGAATTGGCATGATGTGTGTCAATATGATTCAATATGAGCTGATCTCGGATGACCCACAGTGAGTGCAAATCCCACGGGCTCCACAAGCAGCACGGGTAGGTCAACGGAGTATTCCAGAAACATATCCGTTCCCCACTGATGCTGAGGCCCAAACCAACTAAAAAAACTAGGGATCCTCTGCCACTCCTCTCCTGAGGAATGTCAGGCATCTCAGCCTCAGAAGAAACACATGCACAAAAATAGAAACGGACATCTACACATCTGCATGGTCGCAGTAAGGATCAAGTCTGTGGATACAACTCGTGGCATAGGTGTGCGAGGCATTTCCTCTTTGCACATATAATATATAACCCTTGTCGGTGCGCATACAAAAAATACATACACCACCCACCCACTCTGAAAAAAAAAGTAATAATGTGTGTCTTGGTTTGCTGCTGTTTGCTGGTATGTTTTCCCGAGAGCGCCTCATCTCACATCTTCGCATCTACGCATCTCTCTCTTTCCCTCTCTCATTCTCTCTCTTCTCCCTCTCCTTCTCTTTTCGTTGATATTATCTTTCTCTCATAAGCCGGGGGCAGTGCTGCAACGGCGCCACAAAATGCAACCCTTTCGCACATAATATGTGTCAAGTGTCAAAAATTGCAGGGATATGATGACCCCTACGTCGTCAGATAGGGCCCTGGGGGGGGGGCCTCAATTAATACAAGAAATTGAAGGGGCACATACCTGATTTTTTGACATTAATTGAAGGATGTCTTTAACCCCTACCCCCCTAACTCATCGACCTCTCACAAACCTCTCAATTAAGTGGCAAACCCCCCATCCACAGCCATGCCAACGTAATATGTGAGCAGCCGCATGCACACCAAGCAGGAAAGCAGCCACCACACTCAAAACCAGGCAACAAAAATTAATTCAGGGGGTGTTGGCATCTGGAGGAGGGGTCAATTAGTTTATGTGGCAAGACAAAAACCAGGCAGGAAAGCAGCAACCACACTGAAAGCCAGGCAGGAAGTACCCACCACACTAAAAACCAGGCAGGAAAGTGGCCACTGCATGCAAACCAGCCAGGAAAGCAGCCATCCCATTCAAAACCAGGCAACGCAGATTAATTCAGGGGGGTTGCCCTCTGAAAGGGGGGTCGATTGATTTAGTTGGCTAGCTTGATCCAAGGTTCACTGGGAACGTGCCAGATAATCTGTTTGTATCCGACTTAAAGTTGTCGATAAGTCGTCGGAGAAAAAACAATTAATTGGGAAAAATAATTCGTGGGTAACCCCCCTCCAATTACAGTATATAATTGTTGAGTGGAGGGGTCATGGAATATTGTCATTTCAAAGTGTGTAACTGCTGTCGAACACGAAGGTGGCAGTTGCCTATCACCGTCGTCGAAAACAAAGGCGGCGCAGAAGTGTGTAACTGTCGTTGCAAAAATGAAGGTGGACATTGCCAATTCAATGAGTCTAACTGCTGTCGAAAACGAAGGTGGGCGTTGCCAAGTGTGTAACTGTTGTGGAAAGTGAGGTGGGCGTTGCTGAAGTGTGTAACTGTCGACGAAAATGAAGCGGGGCGTTGCCAAAGTGCCTATAACTGTTGTCGAAAACGACGACGGTGGGGGTCGCCAAAGTGTGTAACTGTCGTCGAAGTTGAAGGTGGACATTGCCAAATACCTGTTGTTGACAACGAAGGTGGGCGTTTCCAATGTCACTGCCGCGGAAAGCGAAGGCGGGCGTTACTAAAATGTGCAACTGTCGTTGACAATGATATGGGGGAGCTAAAGTGTGCAACTGCCGTTGCAAATGAAAGTGGGAATTGTCAAAGTGTGTGTAGTCGTCGAAAACGAAGGTGGGCGTTGCTAAAGTGTGTGTGTGTGTGTGTCCTCGAAAACGATGACCAATGGGCAGGGCAACAATTTGCCCACACCGGCTGCATGAGAACATGTACTGTACAATCATGCCTTGCGAGACCAGATCCCTTATGTAAGGCATTGAAATAAATGAAAATTGAAAATCAATCCAGACATGCTTTTTAAAACACATGTGCACGCATACGAAAAGCATCTGGCCCACTGACAAGACACATGGAAGCATCTTGCCAACCAAGACTTACATATCCACATGTCAAGCCCCACTGGGTATCGCGCCTCAGTCTGGCCATCGACATCGTCCGTGCAAGTGAAGCGTGAGGAGGGTGTGGACGAGAACACAACCTTCCGTACTCCTGCTGAACTGTCAAGTGAACACTGGATTTACATCCAAAGATTGAAATCTTCTGTGTGCCGTGATGTGAAGCAAACAAGGCCAGCGCCGACACTCCTTGCTTTTTGCATGCCTCGAGCACATTGCGCGTTCCAAGCACGTTGACCTGTCGGGCAACTGAACTGAATCTGACATTGTGTGTGTGTTTGTCTTTTTCTGGTTGCTGGAAAAAGAGAAAGAGAAAGCGAGAGAGAGAGAGCGCGCCACACCAAATGCTGTACAGTATCAAAAACGGGCGCAGCTAAGATTTCGTGACCCTCTCAGTGTACCAGTGCACCCCATGAATAAAAGGGAGCCCAGTCACGTTGTGGTAGAAGTGCTTGGGCAAGAAGGGCCCAACTGCAGCTGCATTGTGCCACACACAATCTGCACCTCCACACTCCACACCCAGACTCTATGTTTTCATCTACCAGCACAACACAAGCAACTTGCTGCACCTTGGACTGCCTCTTCTACAGCAGCCAGGCTACACAAGTCGCCAGTGACATACTTGATAGCCTGCAAGTGATTAGAATGACGTGGCGCAGGGTCATCTTGGCTCACCATCGACGGTCTTTGTAGCAATTCAATACACTACTGTGCGGCGCCTTCTACCAGATACTATGACGCGCGCTGTAGCTCTAAATAGTTATATACAAAGAAGGACTTCACATGATGTCAAGCAAATAACCCTGCTGCCCATGACGGCAGAACTGGTCACCCAGTTCAGGGCTGGAAACACAATATCCTGAACCCCAAAGTCCAGACAGAAGAATGAAAGTAAGTTGGCAGCCATTGGCACCAAACTCTGAAAGTTTCTGGAAGTTGGTACTTGAGATTGGGGATTGACCCAACAGGCCCAACAGACAGCTCCGCGCAACTCCAATCTCCTCGTGCTTCCAGACGTTCGCAGGTGGGGGTACGATGTCAAAGGACACCACCTCGCAGGTGGTACTTTTCTGGAAACCCCACATTTGAAGATGTGAGGCAGCCAACCATTGGATAACTGTTTGCTAACACAGACTTGCCTCTGTTTCATTCTTGGCTCTGCTCGGCTTACTTCAGTTGATGTTGACTCCTTGAACTGGAGATCCCATGCAAAACAAACCAACATCGGCAAAATGATATGTACCGTATGATGTCCACTACCCTGCTCATATAGTCATTCTGTCACATCTATCACCCTATATGCAATGACCCCTTCAACCACTGCACCACCTGCATTTAGCAATGCTCTCTGAAAATGGTCCCGATATCCTTCTAGCTCAACTCCAGGCCAAAGGCAGTTGTTGCCTGCGATTCGTCCTCCATTTGAATTTGAACTGGTTTATAGCTGGCCCACATGGCAACTCACATGGTTGCATGCGTGCCTAATAAGTAACATTCAATATCATTCAATAATCAAGTGTTTTGCGCCAGTACCAGCACACATCCTGACACATCCTGCATTCTGGTTTCTCAGTTGTAGGCGCAGCTGGCCCTTGTTTAGACTTGCAGGACGTCACACCATAGGGACTTGAGTTTTGGCCGACATCGCAATCCCAGTAGTCCCTCCATGCACTTGCCATGCTTGGTCACGCTTCGAGCTTGGTGCCAAAAGGCAAGTGGTCATTTGTCAATGCCTTATACCGGGTTGCACGCATTACTTGCAAGAACAGCACCACCTCGCGCCTGCTGGGCACCTCTCTCCACCAAGGTCTCCACCAAACGCTGCCCAACAAAGCCCAGGCCACCAGTGACCACACACTTCTTGGGGACCTGGGGACACAAGGCGCCGGCGTTGTTCAGGACCCTGGAGTTTCGAGCACACGCCACAATCTGGATGGTCCAAAACGCTGGGGTCACTAACGACGTTGGCAGCAAAAACAAACATATGATTATACAACCCTCAGAGATACAGGTTATTGTGTATCAATGGGCCCACAAAAATGACGAAATGTTAGACTCGGTTGAAGAGCAGAGCTGAAACTCAGCAGGGAGACGAGATGAAGCCAAATTAAGAAGGTTTTTTCGCGCGCGCATTCTTTGACAAATTTCGATTAAGGCAGGATGATTAAGGCGATTCTCTATTTGAGCTCCAAACATGCGTGAGCAATCCTCGGACCAAAGGTTTTCTTGACTTGACTTGAAACTTGTGTTCAAGAAACCTTTGCAATGGCCACCCACCAATGTGCAGGTGCAGAGCTTTGGAGCCTGCCAAACACCCAGCAACAATGACAATATTTCAAACTCCTCATCCTGAGACCCCAGACAGGTCCATACTCACCACTCTGGTTCGCCTGCCACATTGGACGAAGAAGCTGCAAGATTGAATTGACAAAAATCCTGCATAATCTCCCAGCGTCTCCTGACACGAAAGTCACGATACCTCTAGAAACAGAACCTTGTTCTGGTTTTCTCGCCTACCCGTGCTCGAACTACTCTGCAACATGACAATGATTATAATACAATAATAATATAATATTATATAACTAACGTTGCACATCCCTCTGGCCATGTCAACGAGATCTACAAACCAAAGGAGAACTTTCTCAAAAGCCAATCAGCCGCAGAGTTCCTCTGATTGCAGAAAGGGCTGTGAGCATACAGTACACAAAAATTAGGTCACCGAACGCCTCTCGGATCTTTTGCTGGATCGGTGACAGCTCCTGAGCAAATGCTTCAGCAAACCTCTCATATTTCGGTGGGCTTTGCAAAGGTAACACGATGATGCGTCTTCCACTTATCAAGGATGGTTTCAATATGTGTCAATGATCTTAGTGCATGCCGAAGGGGTGATCTGAATCTGATTGGCATTTCTACTCATCTGCTGACAAACATTTGGAGAAAATCGTTCTCCTTCTAGGCAGAATTGGGCCATATACATTTCTATATCCCCATTTATATAGTTGAAAGAATGGCCCCAGTGCCCTAGTCCCTCGATTTTTTGGCACTTTGCTGACTCCACCTCACTATGGTGAAGTTGTGTGGGGTTGTCTGTTCCAGCTGATGGGACTCACTGTACTGTGGTTCCAATATGGAATTCCAGCGCCAAAGCAAAATTCCAACAATAATTTAAAAAATGATTTGTGTTGTTTTCACAGCATTCGTGTGAGTGGGCCTAGCGATAGTACAAAGCGAACAAATTCAAGACACCTTCAATAACAAGGCAGCAGAGGCAAACAAAACGCCGATCACAAAACCACACAAGTGGGGAGACATGCAATGAGAAACAAGGCAGCAGCAGCAGCAGCAGCAGTAGCACACAAGATGCAGATCACACACACAAGTGGGGAGACATGTAAGGAGACACACGGCAGAAGCAGCGGTGGACCAAAACGCCGATCAGTCACCCACTCACTGAGAAGTAAGGGCCTCTATTTATTGTTTTTTTCCAGCCATCAGGCTAAAGAGTATGAGTAACACACGAGAAAGACACATCACAAGAACAACACGGAAAGGAAAAAAAATTAAAAACACAATTCAATCTACCAAGAGACAAATACACCAGCACTGACCCCAAATAGCAGCGGCAGCTTGAACCTTGTGACAGCTCTTGCCGACAGCTTTGAGCCATGAGAAACACATGAGACAAAGTAAAACAAAGCCGAGTCATCTCAGCCCAATCATCCAGCAAAAGCCGCGGGAGACAAAGGGAGACAAAGCAGAATAATCACACCCCGTTACCCAAGATGAGCCATGGGAGACAAAGGGAAACACTTCAGCCAGACTGGCCCTTTTTTTCTTTTGGAGGAAGGGGCGTTGGAAGAGAAAAAAGAGCACCCTGAAGTCATTGCTTGTCTGCAGCTTGATTCCGTCTTTGTGGGTGGGCTCATAAGCCTGCGTCCACTCCCATCCACTCTTACAGTGCAGGCTATCCGCACCAAAGCCCAACCACTGACGTTCCCCTCCACTCTTATTCGCCAGGAGAAAAATTCATGGTTCGGAGACGTGCGTCTCACTTTCCTGCTGTATTTCCGACCTTTGTCCCCTTCCCTCTCCTATCCTCTAAAATTCGCGTTCTCTCCAGACGAAATTCTCGCTTCCTGGTGAGCTCCCCATCTCTTTTCCTATCACATCCTCCCCCGCTATGCGAAGACTGTTTACATTACCTCCTAAGCCCCTCATGATGCTAATGATGCACTCTTCACCGTCAATTACATCACTTGCATCATAACACCCCAAAAGCAATACATGTTCACTCCCATTCTGCCACCTTTTTTTCGCTCTCCCCCACCAGGCTCTGGGCTCCCCCTCCCAAATTGCCTTCCATGCGACCACCCCCCAGCACACCCCGTCACTTCGTTCACCCATCGACAACTCCAGCCTAGCCTATCGGCTGGCTTTCGTGACAAAACACACATCACAAGAATCAAGACGGAAGAAAACCATGAAAGAACACTACTCAAACTGCCAAGACGTAACAAACACTCAAAAAGCATGAGTAACCCAGATAAACACACATCACAAGAACAAGGGAAAGAAAAAGGTATAAGAGACACGCATTCCAGAATGATCCTAATTGCGTTCCAAAACGAAACCGGTTCCATCTACAGCCCCTTGAGGCCCCATGCATCAAAACACTGTACTGAATTCCCTGACTGGTCTTCAGGTCTTTCTGACAGAAGATGGGGATGTCGTGGAGCCCGAAACCAATGGAACTTGTGATCACAAACCCATACATCATGGCAGCTTTGCACCTTCCTCGGGAGTAAATAAACACATTGGGCTGCGCTGTTTTCGCTTGGCATAGGTATCAAAAAATAAAACGAGCGTCAAAAAAAGAGTATCAATTGGGCTTTGCCCCGGCACAGTAACAGTGACCACAAATCATACCACAAAAAAAAAGCACAGCAATTTAGCCATAGTTGGCATTAGGATGACTTTCATTTGCCCTTTCTAACGCTGGCTACATTAATCATGTGCTACAAAACCCTCAAGTCAACCCGATGCCTTTTTTCATCTGAGCGCAAGCAGTGAAGAAATGATCGACAATATCGATCCAGTCAAAAAGGCTTGGGGATTCTGCTGCCAGACAAAATGAGCTGGGCAGAGCTGGGCTCTGGCAGGCCGGGTAGAAGGGGAGGCAGAGGCCGGGCAGGGCGCCGGAACTGTGGGCGGCCCCGGTTCCAGGCCCGGGGGGGGGCGGGCTGCCCTTTAAAACAAAAGAAAACTGGAGGCCCGCTATTTTTAAAAGGAAAATGAAACACAAAAAAGCACAAAAAAAAGCACAAAAAACACACAAAACCGACCACAACTTAGTGGATTTTTTTTGTGCTTTTTTTTGTGGTCTGATTTGTGCTTTTTTTTGTGCTTTTTTTTGTGGTATGACTTGTGGT